ATCATCATGGGAAATCTCTTCATTTTGTTTTTAGTAATTTTTGATTCTCACTTACATTCTCCTATGTACTTCTTATTAGCAAACTTGTCCTTCATTGATGTGGGGGTTGCTTCTACCACAGTCCCCAAGATGATTACAGACCTTTTAAATGAATACAAGATAATTTCTTTCCAAGGTTGTATGGTACAAATATGCTTCATCCACATAATGGGAGGAGTAGAGATGGTGTTACTCATAGCCATGGCATTTGACAGGTACACAGCAATCTGCAAGCCTCTATACTACTTGAAAATAATGAACCCTAAAGTATGCATTTCACTTGTAATCACTGGCTGGGTAATTGGGGTGATTCATGCTATGTCTCAATTTGCTTTTATTATAAACTTGCCCTTTTGTGGTCCTAACAAAGTAGACAGCTTTTATTGTGACTTTCCTAGGATCATAAAACTTGCATGCACAGATGGAGCCAAATTTGAGTTTATTGTGGCTGCCAACAGTGGTTTCATGAGCATGGGTACCTTCTTCCTGCTAATCCTTTCCTACATCTTCATTCTGGTCACGGTCTGGAAACGTTCTTCAGGAGACTTGTCCAAGGCATTTGTCACTTTGTCAGCTCACATCACTGTGGTGGTTCTTTTTTTCACTCCATGCATGTTTCTCTATGTATGGCCTTTCCCCACATCATCAATTGATAAATACCTCTTCATTGCTGACTTTGCTCTCACCCCTGTCTTAAATCCCATTATATATACATTAAGGAACAAAGAGATAAAGGTAGCCATAAAAAGGTTGATCAAAAGACATTATGTCAGATTTCTCTGATCAGATCTGACTTTGGAGCTTGAAGACTATAATCCACCTGTCTTTTGGACATCTCTACTCAGGCAAGCGAGTCAATCGAAGTCGTTTCAGTCATGTCTGCCTCTGCAACATTATGGACTGTAGCCCTCCAGGCTCCTCTGTCCATGAGGATTGTCCAGGCAAGAATATTGGAGGGGGTTGCCATGCCCTCCTCCAGGGGATCTTCTCGACCCAGGGATTGAACCCATATCTTTTACGTCTGCACTGGCAGGCAGGTTCTTTACCATTAGTGCCACTTCTACTTAGGTACCTAAGACCTAAAATAGACAAAACTGGATGTATCATCTACCTCACAGAACAAAATTCTACTACATCTGTGTAGTAGTATTTATCCATTACATTTGCTACCATGGAAAATATCAATCTACCACATAAGGTGATTATTTTATTAGTTTTAAAATAGCATGAATATCTACTACATAACATTTTGGATTGAAAGTGTGACTATTTTGACAATAACAAACATAATAAAATCTCTTAATCTTCTTATAAAATTTGTAAGTAAATTAGCTTGGTTTGGGAAATGTCGCGAACCATCACATTGAATGCTTATATATTTTGTGTAGGACTTACTAGCTCTGCTTAGTTACTTAGACTGCTTCCCTTTCAGAAGACTCAAAGATAAAATTTAATCACAGTAGTTTATTTGGGATCTGATTTTTGGAAGCACCAGTGAAGGAATGAAGAAATGATACTGAAAACAGAAGGATGCTTATATGTTAACATAAATGTGCAAGCTTATTGTGGTCCTCCAGGAGACCCTATAGGTTCTATGAGTTAGAATTCTCCCAGTTGAAGGACAATGTATTTGGAGTATTTGTTCATGATTAGAGGATGTATTAATTTGTTGGCATTCCCAGAATATCCTACAGCAAATATTGTGTATCTGGGTAACCAGAGACAAGTGCTCGGACCTGGTGCACTGGGAAGACCCAGAGGGATCGGGTGGAGAGGGAGGTGGGAGAGGGGATCGGGATGGGGAATACATGTAAATCCACGGCTGATTCATGTCAGTGTATGACAAAAACCACTACAATATTGTAAAGTAATTAGCCTCCAACTAATAAAAATAAATGAAAAAAAAAAAGAGAAAAGATGTGAAATAGGCTTTCTGGTACTGACAGTAAAGAACTATCTCCAATAAAAAACAAACTTAAAAGCAGCCTCTCGTTAATGCTTTGTTACTTAGATAGGTGCTAATTAAAATTTTTATTCCAATAGACCCCAAACTACCATTAAATTCACTTTGAAATTTTGGCTCTGAATTTGATAAAAAATGTAAGCTATCAGATGATGCTTTCAATTTAGAGAATCTTAGAAACCTAAAATCCCCTTGCTCTACCCACTCACGGAGCTCTGGAAGCTATTCTCCATTGTAAGTGTAATTCACACTGAGGGTAACACTGTCCCATAAATATTTCTCAAAAAGAGACAACGTATTGTTTATATTCCTGCAAGCTGACTGTATTTCAGATCCTAAATAGAATTTTAAATCAGTTTTATCCATGAAGAATCTGATCCCAAATAATGATGTTTCCAAATGTTATATCTTGTATTTTATGCTCTACAACAATCTCTTAACCTCCTCCTTGCTTTTCTTCCTCCCTCACATTTAAACCAGCTTTCTTAGTATTTCAATATCAACTTTATATATATACTGACTGGGATTTTCTGAAAGTTTTTTCAAGTTTCCAGAAACATTAAGGAGTTCTTTTCAGCTACTTCCTGGAACTTTTTTACTCTCTAGAGCAAAGGCCCTTCCTGCACCAAAAGGGATGCCTTCTCTATAGTCCAAGAGCTAAGTAATGAGATTCAGAAAGGCCTGATCCTAGTTCATGGTCCACAATTCTACAACAGGAGATGATCCTGGACAGAGATATATAATGTTAATTACCAGAAACTTCCAAACTGGGAATTGATTGCCAATGGTACTGTTTGCTAATAGTTATTTCAGGAAGAACTTGAATGAACTATATAGGGGGAAGTCTCAGAAGTTATGAAAACCAGTTTTTTGCCATGGAAACAGAATTAAGCTTCTAGAATTGACAATACCACAATGGCACCACTGAAGGAGGAATCAGAGGAGCTTAGATGCACACCCCAGTCACGTGGTTTCTCAACCCTGTGACTTTCTGCAAGACATGCTGAGACATAAACTTTTGACATAAGATCCATTTTAATGGGGTTATTATGAGGGCTAGATCATGCAATTTGAAAGGGAGCTCTCGGCATGTGAAATACAGTCAGGTTCTCTGCCTGATTTTTCTTTTGCTCTCCACATATTTTACACCTCTTTAAGGAGAGTTCTGTCTTGCATATTTGAAGATAAAAATATAAACTCTTGGAAGCTTTATTTCTCCAACCTGAAATACCCTGTCCTTTAAAAAATGAATTGATACAGTATTCTTTGAAAGTGTGGAAGTAATCTTTATCTGGCTACTAACATGAATTAATTTTATAGTATTATTAATGCTCTGTCATTTGTAAATCACATAACACCTTTCAAGGAAAGTGTTGAGAAAATAAAGCAGGCATGGGCTTTGGTGTAATCCACAGCACTCTTTCATCTGAAGTGTCCAGGAGTGGGTAGACTGTGATCTATGAAAACATCCAATACATCCTTTTGACTTCACAAGAGAATGATTTCAAATATTTTCTAATTCCAGTCTCACTTTTCAAATTTTGCCATCTGCTGGCAATATTGAAGGCAGAAAACTGCTTTTTTACATACTATGAGAATGAACAAAGACTAAATTAGAAAAAAACTTTTTTAAACAGGTTGTAATAATACAGTTATATATCATTTTTCATCTGGATACTGGCCATTTCACCTTTTTAAGTAGGATTCTTATGAAGAGTTGCATTATCAAGCGAACAATTAACCAGATGACCCCAAAATCCCACTATTTGGTATTTATTGAAGTGAAATAAAATAGTTAAATACATGAATCTGTGAAAGAATGTTCACACAGCTTTACTCTTAATCATGAAAAATTGGACACAACTCTAATATCCTAAACTGGGGATATCCAAACAATGCAATACTATTTATCAATGAAAATAAATGACTAATATATGCATCAAAATGGATGAATCTCAATTACAGAGTAAGAAAAGCCAAATGCAAAAGACAACAAATTGCACAATTCCATTTTTATGATATTTTGGAAAAAGGAAAATACAGAGACAGAAAAGAAACCAATAGTTTCACAGGACAGGGGTTTTGTGTGTGGTTGAGTAAAAGGGCCACAGGAGACTGTGGTGTGAAATGAGACTGTAATGTACCATGGTGCAATGGTTACCCAAGAATATACGTGTAACTACAAACTCTCATTGGTCTTTCATTTAATAACTATAAGACTTAGGAATGTCACTTAGCCTCTTTTGCCTGTTTTCTCCATTGTAAACAGCTCTATATGTCATCATAGTATAGTGAGATGATACTGAAAAAGTGTGTGGTAATACCCAAGCAACTGGATTAGTGTTGACTCTATGTGTTCTCAGAAACCGGGATGGTTAGGGTTCTAGACCTCAGGGCACAAAATGGGTGGTAAGCCAAATAAATTCATTTAAATGTTTTGAGATCTAGAAATGAAAGAGATAAGACAAAACTTTGAGAGGGAGAAATTGAGACAGTAAATAAGGAGGAGAGAGGCAGGGACAATAAGGGAAAGGAAATAAATTGGGATTTAGTAAAACAGACTTTGACTTTTAATATATTTAAAATCAAAACTTCCAACAAAAAAAGATAAAGAAAGAAAAATATCTCCAATGGCATACATTGATATGTATGCCACTACTGATAGGAATAGGAACAGAAGGATACACTACAAGACTGATACTTGTTACCTCTAAGAGTGGTTGAGATTTGGAGGGGACAGATGAAGTAGGACTTTAATAACTGCTTAATGATATACGTGAACATATATCATTAATAGCTTGACTCTTATAAGTAATGCTGTATCTATGTATTATATCTTTAACAAAGTAGTAAATTAAAAAGTATCCATCCAGAGTCTTCTTGTAACAGAGTTGGATGAGCACAGCCATTAGCAGGCAGCCATTGCTGTGTCCTTTAACTCTGCACCCTGTTGCTAGGCAACAGGTCTTGCTCAGACATTGCTGGGTGCCTCAGTGGCCCCTCCCACAAGCAACCAACTGTCAATGAGCCACTGTTAGTTGTCCTGCTCAGCTATTGGTTAGCACTGCAGTGGGCCCTGCCCACAGCTAACTGTCAATGAGGGACCACTGAGGAAATAATGAAGTCAAGGGCCAGTGGTGTGGTGATCATCAGCTGGACAGTGAGGTAAGAGGCAGATTCAGGCCTTCTCCTGGAAGGCCCTCCAGCTTATCCAGCCTTGGGTCAGCAGGTGAGCTGGAGGACCCAAGGAACAGACGGGAAGAGTACATCCCATGGGGCTCCAGAGCCCTCACTAAGACCTTCCACTAGCTTGGCCTAGGCCTTGAGACAGCAGTGAACTTCACCCCCATCCCTGTCTCTCCAACCTAACAGCAGTGGCCATCTGTGTAAGCTGCAGTCTGTGAGACCTGGTCTCCCCATTTGTGCAGCCTGAGGAGACTGTGGGCCAGTTGGGTTGGGTACCTGGCTCCTTCAGGGATGACAACTGAGCAGGATGTGGGAACCTGGCCCTGAAGGAGCTGCTGACTGAGCTCTTAGCCAGGACCTGGACCTTGGAGGTTGAAGGTTGTGCCTTAGGACTTTGCCCTTTCTGGTCAGGACAGGGAATAACGTTCATCTGGTAGAGATTTACAGGAACATCATTACCTGACCATGACCTGACCTCAAGAACAAAGGATCTAACACCAAGAAGTCTGCAACAACTAACCACACCCATCCCTCACCTTTTGCTTTTAAAGGGGCTTGCTGAAAGCTTTTAGTAACTTTGGTGTTCTTAGGGCATAAGCCACCCATCTCTTTGCATGAATCTGTAATAAACCTTTCTCTGTTCCAAATTCTAATGTTTAGTATTGACGGGCCTCACTGTGCATCAGGCAGAGGGGCTTGCGAATTCAGTAACACTCTCATCACATACAGAAATGCTTATAACATGGTTAACACACAAACCATTAACATTCAGAACTTTGCTCAAGGTAGCATTGAGAGCATTGAGACCTACTACTCCTCTCAAGTCCCAGGAAGCTGAAGTTTAAGTAGGCCCCTAAGTCATGAGCATCGTTGCAAAATGATGAGGTGAGGGTGAGCTGCCTGTCACCTGCCCATTCACATAAGTCATCTAACTTCTGCTGGGACTGGCTGATTCTGGCATGTTAGTTCTCTTCAAGACATGGTAGATGCAGAACAAAAGGAAAATGTTATATCCTCCTAAATTCAGAATATTTGAATGTGTTAAGCTTCCTTCTTTTACAATTTTAGGTGTAATTAACTGAACTATAGCTTTTACAAGGGTGCATTATTTTATTATGCACTCAAAGCCCAACTTTTCCTCAGGGAAAGTTGAAGACAGGATCCCCAAGGAGCATGACAGGGAGAGACTTTTCAAATATATGGCTTTATTAAAACACAGATATGGAAAGTTTCCAAACTCAGAGGCTACTCTTTTTTTTTTTTTTATCAGAGGCTACTCTTTAGAGTGTACATTTGCCACATTGATGATGCACTCTCACCAACACTGTGGGAAATGGCAGAAAATTACTTGGATTTCATGTCAGACTAAAAGAAAAATCCAGAGTAAGCCTTCTCAATTAAGAAAAGGATCTGGTTTCAGAGGTGATCTGTATAGGGTAAGTATATCCCAATCTATCTGATTTTTGAACTTACACGTTCAATGTTTCTCCTCTATTTTGACTTGATGTCCCCTACCCCTTTAGCATTTTTTCATACCTATCTATGAAGCTTACTGTTCTAAAGATGTTATTTAGTTAATGTGCTTATAGGAAAGATTATGGGCTTTCTCTCTCAATCAATCCCTGGGACTTTGGGATTCCTAACAACACTTTCACAAACTAACAAAAAACACTGCCTTTCTACAATCTTAAAAGTTCTTGAGGCCCAAGTTAGTGAGATCAGGTCTCACAGATTCTCCAACTTCCCAACCCAGGGGTTGAACCCAGGTCTCCCGCATTGCAGGCAGGTTCTTTAACATCTGAGCTACCAGGGAAGCCCCCAACTTATATTAACATTTTCTAATTCCTTTTATATTTTACTTGCTCTACCACTGATCAAAGTAGTAAATGGAAAAAAAAGCCTCAGTCAAATATCAATAGGGCAAAGTACTCTACAATTTAAAGACAAACAGGACTGAATTTATATTGATGTAAACTTTTACCTCTTTTCCTATCGTTATTGGCTATGTACATTTGCTGGTGTCGGTCAGTTCTTTAAAGAACTAAATATCTTATTTCAGAAATCTTTTTTACTTTCCTTAATCTTCTAAAATTCGAGATTCCTATAGAAACCATTTTTGGTAGGGAAGCTATCCTGGAAGTTTGGAGTCAGACAAACCTGTTTATTTTCCAGTTTTAGTACTTTCAAACTTAAGGTGGGAAAATCAAATTTGACATCTGCAAAAGGGCAAGAAACATGATTGCTAAAATAATGTGTGTGTGATAGTTTATTGGGGCTTCCCAGGTGGCACGGTGGTATAAAATCTGCCTGCCAATTCAGGAAATGCAAGAGACCTGGTTTCAATGTCTGGATCCAGAAGATTCCTTGGAGCAGGAAATGGCAACCCACTTCAGTATTTTTGCCTGGAAAATCCTCTGGATAGAGGAGCCTTGTAGCTACAGTCCAGAGGGTCACAAAGAATCCGACCTGATTGAGCAATTGAGCATGCATGTATATATATAGTTTATTAGACCTCATGTTGTGTTCCCAACAAAATAACACAGATCTTATGTTGTGTTCTTACCAAAATAACAAAGTAAAATAATTTTAAACTCAATACTGAGATGGTGACAGTCCATAATGCTTATGCTGATTTTCATTTTAAAAAATAGTCATACTTTTTCTGAGGAAAGAAAAAAAAACCTGAGGAAAGAAAATAACAGCAAAATCAAAAGTAAAACTGTGCCCAGAAGAGTAGCAGGCAGTTCAAACAAAAAGAAAGGCAAATAGTCCTTTAAAAGTGTGTGTTGATGGGGAGAGGGGGATGTTTAATCTCACAATAAGACATGAAATCTACATTTAGATGTCATTTCTCATTATCATTGAGAAAACATTTTATTGGCAATGAGTGAAAAAAAAACAGGTAATTTTGTACACAGCTAGTTGAAATATAAAATGTTTCAAGTCCTACAGAAGGAATAACTAACAAAACAGACAAATTTTCAAAGTGCTTACTTGGTAAATAGTAAGTGCTAGTGAGTCAACTTAAAAACATTAGTAGCTAGACTGAAGATAACAGGACAATATATAGAGAGAAATGAAGAGACAGTAAAGAGGGAAAAATAGAAATAAAGAAGGAGGGAAGGAAGGAAGTGGGGAGGGACAGATGGATAGAGAGAGGGAGAGAAGAAAGGAAATAAAGGCTTTGCTTTCTGGCTTCTAAAAAACAGAAAATATATGTGCCCACAGTTCACAGAGGTCAATTTAAATAATTCAAGGGAATAGTGTAAGTACAAATGAAGTTAGAATTTATTAATATATTTTCCCCTGTAAGGGCAGTCAGGAGTAAAAGTAGTTTAAATTTGCCTGTCCTTTAGGCTATTCTGAAATAAGAAATTTCTGTTGCCAGAGAAGGCAAAGGACCAGTCAGTGTGTATTAATAAGTGGAGTTAGGCTAAGGAATATGTAATATTATAGATATCTCCTCTCATGGAGAGGTCAAAATGCATGAAAATATTTTGCACTATAAATGTGTAGTCAGCATCTAGGGTTTCTTTTGGAACACAAACATCTTTTCTGAAGTCATTTGATGAACAGTTTCTCCCTGAGTATGTAGAAGACCTTGGTTTAATTCAATCTGCTATATATATCAACTTATAAATTTATTTGTTTCTAAAAAGTGTATACTATAATGAGAAATATAACATTAGATTATTGCCCTAGATAGATTCTTAAAAATAAAAATCCTCTAAATAGATTTTAGAACAATGCATTCTCCCTGCAGAAAAGGTATATTCAAGCCCTGGAGAAACTGTTCATAAAATACATTACTACTAAACTTTTTAATCAGAATATTTGTTTTTCATAACCCATAAGTCCATCACCAACTCCCGGAGTTTACTCAAACTCATGCCCATTGAGCCGGTGATGCCATCCAGCCAACTCATCCTCTGTTGTCCCCTTCTTCTCCTGTCCCCAATCCCTCCCAGCATCAGGGTCCTTTCCAATGAGTCAACTCTTTGCATGAGGTGGACAAAGTATTGGAGTTTCAGCTTCAGCATCAGTCCTTACAATGAACACCCAGCGCTGATCTCCTTTAGGATGGAATGGTTGAATCTCCTTGCAGTCCAAGGGACTCTCAAGAGTCTTCAACACCATAATTCAAAAGCATCAATTTTTCGGCACTCAGCTTTCCTCACAGTCCAACTCCTACACCATACATGACCACTGGAAAAACCATAGCCTTGACCAGACGGCCCTTGGTTGGCAAAGTAATGGCTCTGCTTTTTAATATGCTATCTAGGTTGGTCATAAATTTCCTTCCAAGGAGTAAGTGTCTTTTAATTTCATGGCTGCAATCAACATATGCAGTGATTTTGGAGCCCAAACAAGTAAAGTCTGACACTGTTTCCATTGTTTCCCCATCTATTTGCCATGAAGTGATGGGACCAGATGCCATGATCTTTGTTTTCTGAATGTTGAGCTTTAAGCCAATTTTTTCACTCTCCTCTTTCACTTTCATCAAGAGGCTTTTTAGTTCCTCTTCACTTTCTGCCATAAGGGTGGTGTCATCTGCATANGTATAACGAAAACACTCTCTCTGATGGGTGACGTTTTTAACCTTCCTTTCTACACATCATTAGCTCCTGAGAGCTGAGATTGATTCAATAAATCTTTATTTTCAATTTGGAATTTAGCACATTTCCTAGGATTTAAATTTTGCACATTTAAATTCTGCTCTCGAGCACCCAAACATTAGTTCTTCTTTCCATTCTAGAAGTTCTTAGTTCCTCTTCTGGTCACACTAGAAATGAACTAAATGGAAGAAGCAAACCAGTCCGTGGTATCTGAGTTCATTTTTCGTGGACTCTGTGATTCAAGGGAGCTCCAGAAATTCCTCTTACTGCCATTTTCTGCACTCTACCTGCTGACCGTCCTGGGAAACCTTTTCGTCGTGCTCTTAATCATCGCTGACTCTCATCTCCATTCCCCAATGTACTTCCTCTTAGCCAACCTCTCATTTGTTGACTTCTGCCTTTCCTCAGTGACCACTCCTAAACTGACCACAGACTTCCTAAAGGATAATAAAACCATCTCCTTTGGGGGCTGCATGAGCCAAATCCTCTGTGTACATTTCTTTGGAGGGGGTGAGATGGTACTGCTTGTGACAATGGCCTATGACCGTTATGTAGCCATCTGCAAGCCACTCCATTACTCCAGCATCATGGACAGACAGAAGTGCATCTGGCTAGTACTGACATCATGGATCATTGGCTTTGTGCATGCCACAAGTCAACTAGCTATGATTTTATATCTTCCCTTCTGTGGACCCAGAATAGTAGACAGTTTTTTCTGTGATATTCCTCTGGTGATCAAACTAGCCTGCCTGGATACTCATACTCTGAGACTGTTGATAAATGCTGACAGTGCAGTCTTGGCTACAACTTGCTTCATTCTCTTGCTGATCTCTTACACCTACATCCTGGTGACTGTCTGTCTTCGCTCCAAGGATGGGGCATCAAAGGCACTCTCTACCTGCACTTCCCACATCACAGTGGTGGTGCTGTTCTTTGTACCCTGCATCTTCACCTATCTGTGGCCACCTAGCATCTCTTGGGTGGATAAGTTTCTTGCTGTATTTTACACAGTAATCACACCTCTCTTGAACCCAGCCATTTATACACTGAGAAATAAAGAGATTAAGAATGCCATAAAGAGACTAATACTTTAGCACATGGATTCAAGGTGTAATTTTTAGATCTTTCAAGTAATCAGCAATTCCACCGTGTGCTCCCCAATTTCGTCATATTCTGACCTATAAACTGATCTGGAAATATGTTGTATTCATAAGCTGTACATATTCCCAAATGTATGCAGTTATTTATTCCACTAAGAAAATATATTAAAATGCAACACTAAAATTCTTACCATTTGGAAGAAATAAAATTTTTCATAAATAATTCTTTGTATAGGATAAAAACTTACCCAGTGATAACAGTAATGATAATGACAGTTTTAAAATAATAATATAATAATAATAATTACCAGAATTTACTAAACATCACCTAAGTTCCCCAAACCATTCTAAGCACTTTGTATATTACTAAACCACTTTCAGTAGTTTATCATTCTCATTTCTAAAAACACATGATTTATCCACTCTTACTTAGCTACAGAATATACTAAAGATATTTGAGTGGTCTGCTTCCAGTTAGAAAAATAAATAAATGTTTCAAACCATAATACATTACACTTGAATTCCACAGCATAATCCTTAAAGTTTCAATCTTCAAGTGTTAAATCTTGATTTAAAGGTAGAAGTTTCCCTCAAAATTTTCCTCTTAAATTATACATGGAGAAGTGTTTACAAAACATTATTTCTTATGTTAATAAATGACTCTTATGATTATTGTTTTTCCTTACATTAAAGAACTAATAATTCATTGCTTCAAAGCAAAGATTATGTAAGATGATGAGGAAAATGCCCAAAAAATAAATTTTAAAAAAAATATGAAAACCTCCTATACATGAATAAAAATGATAAACAAGCCAATGGGGCTTAGCGAATAGGCAAACAATTTGAACAAATATTTATTTCACTAACTACACACTCAATGTCTTCAGTAAGCTGAGAAATGCAAATTAAGATCATTATGAAATGCCATCTTTCTCTATTAAAGGGGCAAGATATCTAATGATAACAGTAAAAACAATTTTTTTCTTAGCTTCCACTGAAGCTTTTATTTTTTAAATTATAAGAGTATGATAACACATTTATAGGAGACTTGGAAAATAGAGGACAAAGTTACATATAGTTCTACTATATGTTACAGTTATTTTTAAGTAGATAAATTAAGAGTTTTAGTTGGAGTTTCAATATAAAACTCTCAAAAATTAACAGAATAAATAGAAAGTAGAATGATATAGTAAACCTGAAAAGCACATAAAACAATTCATCATAATTAAGATTTGTACAGTTTTCATACAACAGCAGGATAAAAATTCTATTCAAGTTCCCATAGACTATAAACCAGGAACTACAGGAACATATCCAGGAACATAAAACAGGTGCAAAAATTTCATAGTCTAAAGGTATTAAAATCATACTGAGTCTGTTCTCTTATTACTGTGGAATTCTGTTAGAAATCAATATCGAAAGGTACTTGAAAATAACCCATATACTTTCAAGTGTAATGAGACATTTACTAAGAGAGATCTTTGACTTAGCCATTTAAAACCTCAATTATGTTAAAAGACTGAAGAAACACAGAGGGTGATTGCAGAGAAGAAAGAATTTAAATGAGAGATTAATATCAAAATGAGAACTTAATATTAAAGATCTTTAAACACTCCATGTATTTGGAAGTTAAATGTCCACTTTTAATGATGGGTATATTTAAGACACCATAACAAGTACAATTAGAAAATATTTAATAGAATAAAAATGAAAACATAATTTATCAGAATTTGTTGCATGCAGGTGAGCTACTCAATGCAACTAAATACAATATGGAATCTTAAATAAGGTGTGCAAACAAATAATGGATTCTAGCATAAAATTATGTGAAATATAAACAAAAACTGTACTTTAGTTAATATTACTGTATCACAGGTTAGTTTCCTGTTTGTTTAGTAAAAACAATTATTGTCAAGAATATGTATTCACAAAAAAGAAAATGTATGTCCTGCTAGTAAGTGTAAATTAATTTAATCACTTTGAATAACAGTCTGTCACTGTCCTGTAAAGCTGAACATGTGAATTAACAACTTGTCAGAAATGGGCTGCTAAGTGTTCCCCAATGTTCACATGCCTATTCTTCCTATTACTAACAGTACACCACCCAAGTTTTAGTTGGGCAACATGACCATCCACCTACACAGCAGATTTTTAAATTTCTCTGACTTCAGAATATGAGAAGTGATTTATACACCTTTTAAACCATCGCTTTAAAGATATCAGCTCAGGATTCATTTCTCTGACCCAGTGGCTGAGACACAGAACACCTGGAGCAGATGCCTTGCCATCAGTATGGAAGCTACAAGCTGAGAGGAGCAGAGCCAAATGCTCCAGCCAGGAGATGGATGGACTCCAGAAGAAGACTGGACAACTTGAATGGTATTGGTAATGTTCTATTTAGCATTGTACCACTGCTCATTTGTGCATTTTTTTCATAACTTACTTATTTTGATAGCTACATTTCGAATATCATATAATGCAAAGTTAAGGCAAAAACTAAAGGAAAATCTCTACAGCCTTTTACAATAAACTATAACAAAACACACACACAATACAATTACTCATTCATTCACTGTAGGTTTCTAGAGAAGGTTTTACATGGCAGCCCCTGTAAAATCTATACATATATGGACACATGTATCATATTCATACATAGATAGTAAAAACATTTTTAAAAAAAAGCAAGCATGCTTGGTGTTATGCTTAGTAGGGTTAAAATGGGGAAAGTCCAGTTAAATCAACATCAAACGATCTTTTTAAATTAATTGCATGTATAATGGTACATATTTCACCCCCCCATATGATGTATGTAATTTGCTGAATAAATTATACTGACATACCATCATAATGTTAACTTCTACTTCATTCCTGTAAACAGCAGAAAGTCATAATTTCTTGAGTAAGATCCTTATAACAATACCTAAAAACTAAATAGTGATATAGCATACCTTAATCTTAACTCTTTGCACTAACCCTTGCCCAAATCATAACCCTAATTTTGAACTGAATGCTAATAAAAAATATAATACCTACATAAGAACATGTGGAATGCAGCTACAGCCATGCTTGCAGGGACTCTATTAATATTAAGCAAATTGAACCCACAATTAAACCATTTTTCTTCTCATTTGTTATTGCCTCCCAACTCTGCTTTCTACTTCTATACTCTGCTTTCTGCTCCTGGGATTCTGCATATGACACTTCTATTTTCACATCTGGCTCCATTTTACCCTCTGAAGACAGAGCATGGGAGAGAAAGACAGCAAAGTTAGAGAAGGAGAAAAGGACTCCTTCCTGTTTGCTCTTTGGGGCTTTGCCTCTGCTTGC